TTCCAGATTTTATTGTGGTGGTCCTTAAGTGAACACCACAATTGTTAAGTGAACCCATTCATTTGAATGGGTTTTTTTTGCTGGTAACCAACAAAAAGTGCCCGACACTGGCAAAAAATATTGCAAATCATAGTCTTGTGACTATAGAATACCAGTCATTACCAAGGCAATGAACTAAAATGCTTCTCCTTACTGTTTTCCCCACAACAGCAATAACTCTTTGTGGTGGGCTAGACTGACAGAGAGTGACTGGCCCAAAATCACCCAGCCAGTTTTCATGCCTAAGGAGGAATCTCCCACTTTCTAATCTTGTGCATTTACTATTAGATTCCCTATGGTAAAATACATAAAATATACCCTCTCTTTCGGTATTGTGACTGCTTTGAAAAAAATGACACCAGGAGGAACTGATATTCACTTCTAGTGCTCTCTCATGCGTTAGGGTAGGGTAAGTGACTGGTTACCAATGGGAATGTCACAGATGTTGTTTTGTTCAGTAAAATAAGTTATGTCTGACAGAAAATATACCTTGTTCAGTGTGACAACATCTCAAGTTTGCCCTGCTAACACTGTCTCCCAAAAGAATTAAAGAAGTCAGGCATATTAGGTAGATATTTTAAAAATGGATTTTGATAACAAGTCATACAGCTATGAATGAGTACTGCCTATACTTAAAGTAATTTCAGGCCCTTAAGAATAAAAAAGCATGCTGGCTGGGGAATTCCGAGAGTGAAAGTCCACACATTGCTGAAGTTGAGAAACACTGCCCTAGGGTATTGAAAACAGACTGTATTGCAGCTAAATCTCAAAAGAGAGCCAGTCATGGGGAACTTTAAAGGAAAAGATAGGACTCTAGGGTTTTCATGAAAGATGTCAGAATTGGCTGAGACAGCAATCCATATGGATACCACAGCTTATGGAAACCAGGAGAACAACTTGTAAATGTGATGCGTCCCCCTTCCTGTCTTAAAAAAGTATTGACATGTTGATATAGGTGAAAACTATTCTTCACATCACTTGCTCCCAGAATACCAACAATTTTAATTAGCTTTGGCAATCATAGTTAATGCCCTACGGGTATCATATGTTCTGACTTCTTGTTCTTACTAACTCCTGGGTACTTAGATTCTAACACCAATTCAAGTTTGCAGATAGTCTTTAAATGCAGCTTTGTACAGAATGCTTGTTTATTACATTTTTGAATTGCCCATCTTCCTCAGAGGGGGACTCTGAGCAGTGTACAATAAAATGTTAAAATATAAAAATAGTATATAAAAATTACAGATTTAGAGGGAGGCAAGGATGATTATACAGTTAAAATCAAAAAAGTGGAAGGCAGGATTCTCAGAGTACCAGGCAGCTCCTCTGGATTCTCCACACAAGGCCACAGTGCCATGTTTGGGCTCCTTTTCAGAAAGTCAGGAGACTGGGGGCCTGCCTTAATTCATTGGGGAGAATTTGACAGGACAGGGGCAACAGCAGAGATAGCTGTCTTTCTAGATTCCACCAGTCAAGAGTTCCTTTATTGACATGATCTGCAACATATTTTCCCTGCCTGATTCAGTGGGATGGGCTGATATAATGGGACAAAGAAGGTTCTGTAGGTAGCCTGGCCTCATGCCATCTAGGGGGTCACATCAATACCTTGAACTGGACTTGGAAGCAATAATAATAGCTTAGCTTGGATAGGACAAATAGCTGGCCCTCAATGGGCCATTGAAGCCACAAGAACCCTAGATGGCAAAAGTTCCTCAAAATATACAATCCTTCAAATATACAGCCCCAATCAAAGACCTGATCTAAGCTTCTTAAGCATTGTTGTTCAGGACAGGAAGTCTTGTGATGCTCCTTCAAGAGTTCTGTAGTCTCTGTGAGGTAAGTAGAAAGGAGTGAAAGGTAAATGTGACTATCATACAGACTTTTCTCAGTACGTACAGATTCATTACAACTTGGGGCACAAGATGGAACCTTGCAGCACTTTTTAGCTGATAATCATGAAGTGGAACAGGTATTTTCTAGCACAAACCTTCTGAGATTCTTCTCCCATGAAGGAATATGAAACATTATGCTTGACCTATTTAACTCTTTTGTAAAGCATGACACAGTGGAACTGGCCTCCGCTACTAAACTTTGGTGTGATGTCAAGATATGATTGTTTTCAATGTTTCTGCATACAACTCAAATTCTCAAATGGCCTCAACTTCTGGTGGTTGGTATAAAATGTTTTATGAACGACATTATTTACATAGAAATAAATTTACCTTCCTAACTGCCCGGCAGCATTTTTATGCTAGCTATGATAACCTCCTTCCTCATACAAGGTAGTAATAAAATTATTCCTGAGCAAAGTGGAACTGAAAGTGACTTATGTTATAAATGCTGCCTGAGCATTTGAACTTAACAATGATTCATGTGGGAGCCTGAGGTTTTTTGCTGCCTTGATAATGGGATAAGAAATAGTAATAGATTTTCATCTATTCTTTTCACTTGCTTTATCTGGTTGTTTAAAAAGATCTAATAATTTTAAGCCCACAAAAGCTGCAAGAGTGAGGATATCAAAGCTATCCTCATGTTAATTCTCAAAAGGGGAGGTAAATAGCAATATGCAGGGGCTTTTTTAAAAAAAGATCCATAAGGAAGATTTGGAGGTAACACTATATTAGACAAGGTAGACTGGTAACTTTGAGATGGTTTAATTCAGAGCTCCCCAACCTTTCTGGCTTTGTGGACCAGTCGGGGAGGAGAGGGGCTGGTTTTGTGTGAGCAGCAGGCAAGCAAGCTCATGTCCGCAGCTCCATTTGCATGACCCGGGCTGCCCAAAGTGGTGGGCGAGCATGTACTTGCCCGCCTATCCCCGCTTACATGAGCAATGAAAAGTGTGTGCACTCCATTTTGCCTGAGCAGCACATCTCCCAAGCCTACAACTACTTCCTGGGGCTCCTTGTGCACCACTTCTTGGCCCTTGGTGTCACCAGAATCCTTTAGGTTCAAAGAGCGATCAGGCCAGGTGGAGTCTGCAAACCCTCAGCAGCCAAAGGCAAATCAGGCCATCTGGAGCTTAAGCTACAGTGCTTTCATTATGTGGGTCCCTGTCAGCCTTACAAGGTAGACTAGACAGGAAACGCTACCAGATGAGCTAAATCTACTTGTGAGTTACACCAACAGAACCTTACAAATCTAAAAGTACATCCCTTATAAACCAAAGAACTAGGGAATGTCTCTTCTGAGTCTTTTGCCCCATCCATATTCCTGCTGCGGCCTCATTGATGCTTGAGCCATCCATTTTGGACTGTCTTTTGGATCTAGACCAGAGATGGTATTCAGCAGGTTCTGACCAGTTCTGGACAACTAGTAGAGGAAATTTTGAGTAGTTCGAAGAACCAGCAAATGCCACCTCTGAATGGCCCATCCCCATGTATACTCCACTTCCCAAGTCCCAGCTGATTGGCTGGGTCTTCTTTTGTTGCCCTGGTTGTAAAAGCAGGTTAGTGGGGTGGGGAGGGAATGGGATTTTGCAGTACCCTTCCCCTGTCACGCCACCAAGCCACATCCACAGAACCGGTAGTAAATTTTTTTGAATCCCACCAATTATCTAGACATCCCTATTATTTGATTTAGTTTGCTCAGACAAAGACACTGCTAAACTCCCAGTTCATTCAAAATACTGAATATTATTCTGTGGGTTCTCTATATCTTGTAGTCCACTTCAGCCAACTATAGCCTTAGAGAGAAGCAAGGGATTAGAATACCATGGACCAGATCTTACATCAGGGAGATGGAGTCATAAATGGTGTTGTAAATTCAACCCTTTCCAGCTATTAGGTTAACATATTCTTTTCATTACATCAGCAGTTGATTCAAAATATATCCAAGGTATATATTGTTTGTTGTTATTATAGCTGCAATCTGCTTTAGAAAATATTGCCCCAAAATGTAAACCAGAAGTTCTACTGCTAAGCAGATTGTTGTACATTTGTTAATTTTCTCAATATTTCATCTTTACACAACTTGGCAGTGTTGTAAAAGAATGAAACAGCCATACTTCTACAGCTTCATCTGTAATGTTTATGTTGTTAATTGTCTAAAAGTGTCTGAATTTCTCTTTGTTGAGGCTGTTTGCAGTGGGCAGCTTTTTATCCCTTGTATGTATAGAGAGATTTCCAACTTGCATTCCAACATATCCATCATTTTGAGCTGCATGTACTGGGATTGTAGGGCATTTGAATATCAACAAATCTCTTTTACGTCTGGGTTTTATTTGGTTTCACTGGGCTGTCATTTGGCTGCATATAAGTCTATCAGATGCAGTTAACATTGGAAGAATTTGCTTGAAGATAAAATGAGCTCTTTTGGTATCCCAACAACTCTTATAAGCTCTTAAGTAGGGAGACCTGGTTATTCTGAGGGAACCAATTGTTCTTAATTTTTTTCTCCCTCTTTTTATTATATAGTAATACAGAATCCCTTTCCTACTGAAGTTTAAATGTCCCTTCCAGTTAAGTCCACGCTGGTCTCCCTTAATGTTTGTGCTTCTGTAAGTGATTAGTTTCTTTAGTTGTTTCTGCTAAAAGGCTTTTTAAAAAGAATCTAAATTGTTGTTTATTGGTAAATCCTCAAAAATAGAAACTGCTGTCTCCAATTACTGTTCAAAGGCATTTCCTAAGTATAAAGTCTGAGGCTCATTCTCATTTGTAAGATTCTGTCCCTCCAGCTAGAAGTGTTGGAGAACTGGTAGAAGCCTTAGAAGAAGTAATATATATTGTAAAAGCATTTTGGGAATCTTGGAGAGAGATGGAGAAATCAGTTGTTGCTCAGTCTCTATTTGCAGGTCATTCTTGGCTGTTAGTCTGTGATTTTGGGTTGCTTTTGGGAGCTTTGAAGTGACCATTTCTGAGTTCACTCTAGTTATCTCTTCCTTTTTTCATTTTATAAAGTGTTTTAACGTGTTCACTAGTAAATATGAATTCAAATCTTCACAAAGATGTCATGTTTACCTTTTAGGTTTATTGTATAAATAAGCTATGATGGCCAACATTCAAAGATAGTTGGTATTTTTTTTTTACTCTTCCATTCTGAATAACTTTTATAGTCATGATGTACAATGGTTTGGCTTGTAACAGCAACTAAATGTCAATGGATAAATAATCCATTCTATCAGTGCTTTAACTGAGTAATTTATATGTTAGGAATTCAAGGCTTTGATATATACAAGTTACTAATATTAGTAGCTTTCTCTTTCTTTGTAGAGTCACAATTTGCAGCAAGATCTTGTTTGTAGTTTTTCATTTAGGTCCACCACATCTAAGTTGAGTAATACATGGGAATTCTGAGGGAGGAAAAAGCATAGAATTGTGTTCAGCTGGTAAAATAAAGAAATACTTTTTTATTTAGTATTTTAAATAAAATTGTTGAAAATAAAATTACTGTTAGCGGAGAAAAGAAATTCAAGTAGCATCCTGTTGTAGTAATGACTTGAGGGATGCAAAATGCATCCCAATAAGTGATGCAGTTGTAAAGTGATGTCATGTGACTGCATTGCTTAGCAACAGCAGTTCTGGTTGCAGTCATAACTCTGGGACCCTGTGGGTCATTAAGCAGGAGAAGGTGGGAGTTTCAAGCAAGCAGGCTCACAGGTGAGAGCTGACGTGAGAGGAGGCAGGGGATGTTGTGCAGGCAGGGGATGTTGTAAGCAGGCACACCAGAGCATGGTTACCATAAGGGGCATTGAGGTGCTGCAGACCGGCACTAGGGAGTACAGGTGGGTGCCGCAGAGGTACAGGGCCACTGGCAGGTACTAAGGAGCATGGGCAGATGCAGAGTGCTGTGGGAGGTGGTGCTGTGGGAGCAACTTCAGACTTCCTGTTGGCTTCCCCATTGACTTTGTGAGAAGCTGCAACAGCCACAAATCTGAGAATCATAAGTCCCCCTCATTGAGTATCATTGTAACTTTGAACAGTCACTGAACAGGTGGTCATAATCTAAGGATTATCTATATTGAAATTCAGGAAAGATATTAAGTTTATGGGATATAGATATTGGTTAATGCTGTTTTTTTTATTTGATTTGAAATGTACATGAATTTTTTTTACTGTTTTTATTTATTTGTAATCTGCCTTTATTATTTTTACAAATAACTGAAAGTGACAAACATATTAAACACACCTCCCCCCTTTTATTTTCCCCACATTACCCCCTCCCCCCCATGAGGTGAGTTGGGTTGAGAGTGTGTGACTAGTCCAAAGTCATGACTTAGGTGGGACTTTTTAATAAAAGTTTTAATAAGTCCAGGACTACCTATAAGGTAAATAAGTAGATAAATATTAACATCTCACAGGTTGAGTGTTCAGTCTACTGAATTGGAAGGAACTGGTTTCAGTACCTTAGTATAATAATAATTGAGAGTGGTATGGTCAGTATTACAGATAGGCAGAGCTATACAGCCAATATACACAAACCTTTTGAAAGTTGAGCCTTTCTGGTTCATATTTTCTTTCTTTAAAGCTTTTTGCTTATTATGATAAAGAATAAAAGATAGAAACATAGCAAACAGATCTCTTACCTTGGACAGTCTTTTAATTCATATGAAATGGTATAAGAAAAAAGAAGTTTCTTTCAATTAGCTTACCTTGTTCAATATTTCTTTGGCTAGAACTGAAAATGCATTTTCAATATTTATATTATCCTTTGCACTGGTCTCAAAGAAAGGTATTCCATATTCCCAAGCAAGCTGGAATGCAAAAGAAAGGAAATAAGGGAATACTTTGCTTTAAAATATAATTCTTAGAAAAATTAACTCAAATGATAGCTCATACACTGTGAATATAAACTAATTCCCATAGTGAAGTCGAGGATCATCTGACTATACATATTTGTTCCTTTATTTACCGAATTAACATTTTAAACTAATACTTATAATGGGATAGTTAAATAATGATTGAAGGGATGTTTCTTCACTATCAGTTTATCTAGCTTTCTTGAACCTGTGGCAGATGCTTCCTTTATTAACTAGGTTCAAATCTGTAGTACACAAAGGTTCATATTCTTGAAGATTGGTACATTTGTTGCTGATAACCAGCAGATACTTTACATTAAAAATGATTAAAATAGACATCATTGTAGAGCATATGGTGCAGCATATGTTTTCAATGCAATCATAATCATGTTTAGTTGTTGAGATACCCAGTAAAAGGATCAGATAGTAAATGATGTGAAGGATCTTTGCCAGATTGAACTGAACAAGACCTACAAAATTGAAAAATTATGTTTCAGTTTCACATTTAAAAAGTATCTGTCCAACATTTTCATCTGATCTTATCCCCTACAACCTTACGGTTCCCCTCCCCCGCTAAGAAGTTGAAAACTCAAATGTATTTGGTTTAATACGCAATTATTTATGCATTTTCAAATCTGTATTATAAAATAGTTACATTAAAACACTCATTCGCAACTTTTAAATACAAATGTTTTAAAATCATAGAAAATAATTTTCAGAAAATGTAATGTCTTCCTCCAAGCATATCATATCTCTTTTTTAATTAAATATGCAAAGTAATTATAATTAAGATCAAGAATTTTAGCCCAAGATTTCGTTGTAATAGCTGTACTAGAGACCTCATATTTTTAAAAATAAATTATACTACATTCCAAGATATGTAAAGCTTTAGAAGTATGTTTTTGGATGATAGTAATCCTATAGTTCTCATAATCCCAGTTGATGCCTCTATGTACATAACCCCCCCCCTCCCCCAGCCATCAATGAGTTGGCAAAAGTAACTAAACATAATTTCAGATGTTTATTCTACAAGCCACCATTTGGGAACCACTAAATTTCAAACGGAATTTCTATAGGAGACATTTTGGAAAAAAATAGGAAAGAAAAAATAAATAATTCAAGTTGGGGAAAAAAGACCGCTTTTTTTGAGTAGCAAATATCATTGTGTCACCTGAATTCAGTATAGCTCCATGGCAAATATCTTTATGAGGGAAACAGAGAATTTATAGCTATTTTGAGCACCTGTAATTATTACTTCCTCTAGGTTCTATGTGATTGTTTGGAATAATAATAATAATGACTGAATCACTTGTGCCAGCAAAAGCAAATCTAAGGGAAGCAAATAAAAACATGGATAACAGGAAGATTTCTACAACCTCACCCAAGTGAAAGCTTGGATTGTATTTTTCATTTTATGAACGTCCTTTTCATGCTATGAAACTTGCATTAAAAGAAACCTAGAAAGTGTTGTGTGAATGAGAAAAAAGTGCCTTCCTTTTCTGTTTTAATAATCTAATGTATGTTGACATGTTTTATCTTTTCAATTAAATGAATAATGAAGATTCTTCTGTACAATATGTACACTAACAACTAGGTTTCAGTCTAGCATATTACGTAAAGCCAGTTCATGTCATGAATTTATGGTTCAGTGTACTGCATGATTCCAGATAAGTTTAATTTAATGAGAAAAATCATATATAGGCATGTCCAACCATGGTCCGTGGACTACATGCGGTCCTGGGCAGCTAGTAACTAATGTGATCCCAAAAGATCATAAAGTTTTAAGATTATGTGACTTATATACATTAACTATATTATGTACATATTTTGTATGCAGCTCAAGACAATTCCTCTTAACTCAAAGTAGCCCAGGAAAGCCAAAAGGTTGGACAACCATGCCACAGATGTATCCTATAATCACAGTTAAAAACAAAATGAAGTACTTTCATTACAATTTGCAAAAATAAAGTGATCACATGTTTATATGTTCAAGTTATAAATGTAATGTGAATGTTCATTCCAAAGGGGGAAAAAGATGAGAGATTTGGGTATGATGGAGAAGGAAATCAGAATTTTCCTATATTAATTTCCTTAATGGAAGTATAGTTCAAGTTACTTGTTTAAAACCTGATCTCAGCAGTGATTTAAAATTGCCACTTTATGCTTACAGCAGTGAAGTGATAAAGCAGAAATTACGTGGAAGGCTGTTTATTCTTCAAACTCCTTTTAATGGTGTTTTCAGTCACTATTGTCTGCTGTTACAAATACAATATAACTAATACACTTCTGTTTGTTTATTAATATTATTATAAGAAACGACATTAGTTCACTCAGCTTTTTAGCCAATCTTTCCTTCAAAACTTTAAGGCAGCTAACATGGGACCACTCTTCATTTTATTGCAATAGCAACCCGGTGAAGTGAGGCTGAGATAATGTGACAAACATAAAGTCACTGAGTAAGTTTCCAAAAGTGGACTTGAATCTGGGAGCTGCCCAGAACTAGTCCAACATTGCTTTCCAAGAAGCTTTTATTAATAAACTAAAGCGTCATTATAAGAGTCCCTTATACGGAAATGGACAGCATAAAAATTTAATAAATAAAAATAAATAAAAATTAAAAGCCAGAACCTTTCATGTTCTGACAAAGAAATATAAAGGCAATTCAGAACATAAAGGAAACTGAGGCAGAAGGCAGATTAAGGAAAGGAAACCATAGATTTTATTCCACTAGTAAGCAAACAATTGCAGGTTAGTCATAGAAAATTGGAAAATGAGCTGAAATATTTAAAGTGAGACAATGAGATATCTCAACACTGCCACCTTGTGATCATTTATAATGTTGGTTTTTACCAAACTTGTGTGGTCACGAATACTTACAAAGTACTACTGTAATTTTCTTGAATGCCACTTAAAATACCTGTCATAATATAAATTTTAATCTATGGTGTCAAGGTGTTTTTTCCTGGGGTATGTCTGTTAGAAGATTGTTTTGAGCCACCTTTTATAGTCATTTGAGGGGTTATAAAATGCAGGAATACTGGTTTTTGACAGCTGAGATGGAAGGAATTCTGGGAGCCATAAATAAACGGGTTCCCTTTTGCACTTGCGTAAAATATTCAATATAGGTATTATTTAAAAGTGTTAAACATGTAGAGTGGAAGAAGACAGAAATACAATAATTTCTGAAAGTGTTCTATTTTCTATTTAACTTTTTTTGTAAGATTGAAGGGCATAAAATAAATCTTAGCAACCAGGTTGTTGTTTTTTTTCCAAAAAGCTCCCACAAATTTTAAATGAATTGACTTGTCTCATATTTTATAATTTCTAATTAAATCCAATTATGATTTAACCTTAAGAGGGGACAAAATATAAACGCATTTATACCGTACACACTGGAGAACGTTGGATGTCATTTTTTAAATAATATTTGTTTACTATTTTTCTTTATTTTTCCTATTCTCTGAACATTATATTGTTTTTCTTATTAAAATAAAAAAATATTTTAAAACTGTATTGAAATGAAATGCACTCTTTCTGCTAATGATAATTGCTTCTGCTACCAGTAAGTCATTGGAGCATTCTGTGGGTGGAAATTTCTTCTGAAAAATTGGAAGATTTCGTTAAAGTAGATTTTGAATCCACATCAGGGACAACTAGAGGCAACAAGAAAAGTATAATCCTGTGACTAGAAGCCCACTCTTACATCTTTGGATTCCATTCTATAACTCTATCCATAATATTACAAATGCAGAGTTTTATAATATTTTTAAAAATTTGATGAAATTAAGAAAAATAGAAGTTTCAGATTTAATGTCTAAACATTTTTGCTATTGGTTTATTTTTGCAATTTACCAAGTATAGAAGCAGTATTTGAAATAATTTTTCACTATATTACCCTTTAGTACTGAAACAGGCTAATCTGCAATAGTAAACGACTGCATTTATGGTCATGTTGCATGTATTTTATAATATACCTAAAAATATTTAAGCAACAAGGCAATCACTTATAATACATGCCTACCTTTTCTCCTTTGTTTTTTGAAATTATACGTTCTGCTTCCTTATCACACTTATTACCCAGCAGTATTATGTCTGTATCTTCACCTACTTTCTATAAATAGACAGAATATGAGTATCAATACATTCAAATATAGTTGTAGTATTCTTTTGCCTAGTCTTACAATATACATTTTCTCCATCTGAAAAATAAAATCTTACCACACCCAAATAGACAAAAATGTAAACCTGAGGAAAACTTCAACCAATCAAGAAAACATTCAGTGAATGAAACTGAACAAATGAATCATCTCATTCCTTATTTGCTTCCAACTTAATTATTATAAGGAACTGTCCAGTCCTTAGTCCATTCTGGGATCGCACGGATGTTATGAACTTTACAACTTTTCTACAAATGTTTAGGAAAACTTGAGCCAAGCCAGATAGTCAACAATTAAAAAATAGTCATAAATTACAAGTAATTATGCATGAAACATAAATCTCTAACTGTATTCAGCCATGTGATGGAAGGGTGCAGCTGCTTTAAAGTATTGTAGACGGGGATGCGTTTTATGTTTTGCATCCCCCATGCTCTGAAGCACTTTTTAGACCCTGTATCCAAGATGATGTATAGCCTAATATGTAACCATCCCGCACTAGACATTTTGCACATACTGGGTTAATACTTCAAGAAATAAAAAACCCCAGCATTCACAAACCACTGAATCAATATGAAAGGCTTTGCTTTCAGTTTCTTTACTTAGCATAGCGGACCCCAACCTTTTGGGCACCATGGACTGATTCCATGGAGAGAGATTTTTCCATGGACTGGAGAGGGCATGGTTTTGCATGCTTCTGCCTGCATCCCACAGGTGGGGTTTCGCTTGTTTGCGTGGCCCAGTTTCTGTCATGTCACAGACCAGTGCCGGTTCACGGACCGGAGATTGGGGACCGCTGACTTATCAGATTTACCTTGAAACTGTAAGTTTTGATTGACTATCTTCATCAAAACACACACTACAAAGGATGGGATAGAATCCATTGTTCTAGCCAAAATAAGGCAGCCCATATAGACACAGACACATACACTGGAATGAAGCCTTGGCTGGGCTTTCCTCTATTTGTCTTGTATAGACAAATAAGTAGTAAATAGGCACTTTAAAAAGTATTTGTGAAATACAAATCTATTGTTTCAGCAAGGGAAACTTTTCTAATTCTAATCATTGACTTAGATTAATTGTTTCTGCTGCTTCCTGACAATTGAAGTTCTTTGAAGTCCAGGTAACAAAAAGGTATTACGCTTCTTTAGGACATTCATATAAAATATGATATACAATGGAACTTTCTTCTTCAAAAAGTTGACTGTATATATAGAGACATGTAATCATTTTTAAAAAACAGAAGTCTTCAGAGGCGGAAGACTTCAATGTAAAAATACTTTATGTGCTTTATGCCTGCATAATATGGGAATGAAATTTTACACATGCTTTTTTATGCTTATGTAAAATTGAAATAGCATTTTATTCATTCATGTTGTATGTATTTCACACATGCCTAATATGGCCAATTGGATATTATGCATACGCAGAAGCATACAATATACATTTTTTTTCTGTTGTTGCATCTGAAATCTGTAAAATCAAGGACTGTTAAATCAAAGTTCTTCTGTCTATTCCAAAAACTAAATCTGGAGTTTGGAATTTTATATGCAATGTATCAATGACGTACCCAAAGTATGGAGCATTTTTACTTCATTCAATATTTATAGATCCCAGTTCCCACCCAAGCATTCCAAGAATTGAAGTGATCCTAAAGAAGAATGTCAAATTAACCCTAAATTTAAAAAGTCTATAGAAATCACGCTCTTACCCTATAAGTCTTAAATGGAATTATGATGTTGCTCAAGCCTAAAGCCAGGAAAGTTGACATAATTAACTCTTAGCAAAAAGAAAGACATGTAAATAGAACAAAACAAGACCGCTTGCTTTGCATCTGTTAAGTTATGTGAGTAACTTTGCATTAGTGAGTGATCTCATATTTTAGCGTAAAACAGAAATGTCACCCCAACACGCAGAAAAGATGCCAAGGAACAATATTATTATTCATGACAGTCAATAGAGTTATTAGTATCCTGCATACCTACTCATCATAACTGTATTGCTCAGTTTTAACAGCAGAGCACTAGACAAGATTTATTAAGGTCTGCCATTCCATCTTTTCTAATTTACTCAACTAATCTCATTTCATAAATGCAGCTGATGTTCAAGATAATGCAGTTTCTAAAATGAAATAACCTCATTATCAGAGTACAGGCTTAAAATAATGAATCATTCTAACCTGTGATAGACCAAAATGTTGAATTTTTTTTCAGTAGGCATTGGCACTTTACTCATTAAAGTCAATGGCTCCCCTACATTAAATTATATTATATTCCTAAAACAAAGCATTGTGAACAGATAAGTATATCATATAAAAATTTGTAATAATTAGAAAAGATATTTAATTTTATTTGCTTTCTAAAAACTGACAAATTCTTACATTTGAAAAATGAACAATGAAATTATTTTCTACTTTTCAGATATGTGTAGCTTTATTCAATATTGATTTAATGCAGTCATATCAGAAAATACAGAAAGTTATTTTTTCCAGAAAAATACATTCACATATTACTTTAAATTAAAATCTTAACACAGATTCCTTCATTGTGTGGTGCTATTTGCACAATTCAAATAATCAACATTACTTTGAGAAATCTAGAATTTAATTTGGTTTCTTTTCCCAGTTATTCTTTAAACCAAGGGCAGATAGGAGAACTCTAGACTGGTTTTTCAGCTTTAGAAATTAATTCACATTCTGGATTCCTTATGAGCAGCATTATGTTTTTTATCAGCCACTAGGAGGAGTAGTTCAATAGTAGTTTGCCACATCAGTATATGAAAGTAATTGATTGCATAGAGACTCAATGCAAGGGCAGCCTTGTTCTGGATTATCTGAAAATTTGGGAGTTTAGCAGATCTGCTATTTAACATATCTTTGCAATTAACATGCAATGAGATGTGATTTGACACACAGACTAGCAGCTGCTTGAATTATTAGAATTTTCACCGATAATGGAAGTGAAGGAACCATGGTTTTAGTTGCTTATCTTCTTTTTAACCTCATTTTATCTGTTTCCTAATTTTTAAATAAAAGTTTTATTCCTTAATTGTTATTCATTCCAAATCACTTGGTGGATTAAAGTTTACACACAGCCACTTAATTGGGAGATGAGAAATTAATTTTGCTTAGGAGCAAAGAGCACTAGAAAAACAATTTTTGCCCAATAAATAACTACAAGTATCCTTCACTCCCAAACATCCGTACAATACACATAATGAAAAAAAAGACACAACAGCAATTCTGTATACTTCATGCATAGAACAGGAACATGTGTAAATACTTTGTACTACAAAATACGTTTTAATTGCTTGAAGGAGAGATTAATCTTTGCTATTAAAAAGTAATAGCAAGAAATTGAAATGTCCTTAAGAGGGCTCCCTAAGATGCATAAAGTGCTTCATAAGCCATAAGCTACTAACATGAAGATTGCAGTTTTGTAAATACATCATTTGTTTCAGTTAGATTAGCATGCAGTTCGACAGGTTATAGTCACTCATCTAAGAGGCCTAATATTTAGCTCAGGTTAAGTGCTAGAGCAGAATATTAAGGGGAAATACTTTAATTTTTTTAAAATCTAAAATGCATGTTCACCCAATGAAATTGTAAATTTGAAACAATTGGGGGAAGTGCTTCTAATTTCATAATGATTAATACATGGATTTCAATACTACAAAATAAGAATTGCTGGGTTTAGTAGCTTTATAAAATAATAGATAATATAAAAGACAGTAGCATGGAAAAATAGCTATCGAGCTATTAGCAAAGCTGGCTAAAAGGAACTTTAACTGTTATAGGAACATTTCAGTGAGAACAATAACAAAGTAGCAACATATGAAAAATATTACCATCATACCTAATTGTGGGTTTTTTGGAGATATCCAATTAACTCTTATGATAAAGAATGGATTAAATGACTCTAGTATAATTGCAATAGAATTTTTCTTATACTTTTGCAAACAAGCCTATCAAACCAGTAAATATGATTAAGTTAGCATGTAGTAGATAAGTATTCTTTACAACTAAAGGCCAACAAACATTTAGAAATAATAAAATATTGTATAAAGATAATATGTTCTTGGCTTTTCAGCATATTAATCAATACTTTCCAGATAAGAATCAAATTGTCCTTTATTGTAGCATGGTATATTACAGGGGTAATATAAAGAACCACCGGTTCTGTCAGCGTGGCCTAATTTGTGGGTGTGACTTGGTGGTCATGTAACTAGGTGGGTGTGGCTTGCTGACTGGGTGTGGCTTCGTGTTCATGTGACTGGCTGGGCATGGTTTGTATGTAAATATTGTAAATATTTATGTAAATGTTTAATTTTTTAATTAAAAAGCAACTTTTACTCAAAATCAGGCAAAGCAGGCAGGCAAATTGAGTTTCTCACAGAATCGCAGATTCACTTAGAGATCTATCTATCTGCCATCTGCTACCTGAGTCTGCACTGAAAAATAGAAGCTTCAGTCCTAAGGAAGGTTCAACTTTTTTTAGATTAGCTAGAAAGCAAGAAATCGAATGATTTCCTGCTTTCTAACTAATCTAAATTGGCACAGCAGATTGGTTTTCCAGCATGGAAGCCATGATATACCAAAATAATCTAGATACAAATAAAATAATGAGATACAATCAATTATTAGATGATCAAGGGATATTGAAACCAAATCAAACATTGAAAGAGGAAGGCATAGTGATAGATTGGTGGCCCTACCTACAATTGCAGACAAAATATAAAAAAGATGTAGAAGAATTTGGTATAGATAAAACACCACAACAACTAGACAAAATATTATTAGGATCAGAGGAAAAATTTATAACTAAAATGTATAATTATCTTTTAAGTTTTGATAGAAAAGAGGAGGTAGTGAAACCAATCATGATACCCTAGATGAAAAATTTTGGATATAGCAGACAATTAGAAGATTGGGAAAGATTATGGACTAAAAATTATAAAT